TAAGCCACCATGTGGGTTCTGGTGAGTGAATCCGGCAGGCTGTCAGATGCAGTGCTACAAACACACAGTCCCAGTTACATAAGGGGCACTTGAGCCTAGAAATCAAAACCAACCGCCAAAAGGGATACCCCCAACTCAAGCAAAACCAACAGTTGTATGGGTCTTCTGGGGGCAAAGGAGAGCCATGAGGCACCCTGGTGGCAGTGTGTAGGAGGAGTGGCCATCAAAAAGGGGTGGGCCGATTGAAAATACATCATCCCTATTAGGAGAGTACAGTTTAGCTGTGAGTTGATAGCAATGCATTGATATCAGCATTGACACGGCTGTGACTTGCTTTTCTCTGATCTAGACTGACTCAAAAGTGGAAGTAAATCCAACAAGAAAGAAAGAGTGAATTCTCCATTTTGACTTATATCTACTTTGTAGAAATAAAATCATGGCATAGGCTCCTTCATTAGAGACAGTTGTTTGTTTTTTTGAGACAGGTTCTCACTAGGTAGTCCTAGAACTCACTATATAGACCAGGCTGACCTCGAACTCTTAGAGAATATAAAAGTGTTGCAGGGGCTAGAGAGACAGCTCAGTGGTTAAACGCACAAACTGCTCTTCCAAAGGACCCAAGTTCAGTTCCCAGCACCCAGCACTGGGCAGCTCACAGCTTTCTGCAGCTCAGCTCCAGGAGGAACCGGTGCTTCCCACCTGCGCTCACGTGCACATACACATAATTAAAAATAACAAATCTTTAAAGAAAATAGGTACACTTGGCAAGGGAAATGATGGCTCAGTGGTTAAGGACACTTGTTGCTCTTGCAAAGGACCCAGGTTTGGTTCCCAGCACTTACGAGGTAGCTTGCAACCATCCATAACTCCAGTTCCAGGGGATTTGACACCCTCTCTGACCTCTACAGGCAACAGAAACAAAATTGGTGCATATCTACGCAGGCAGGCAAATACTCATACACATAAAATACAATAAATAAATCTAGGAATAAAAAGGGGGGATGGTGGTTGCCAGTGGTGCATTTAATCCCAGCCCTCGGGAAACAAAGACAGACAAATCTTTGTGAGTTCAAGGCCAGCCTGGTCTACAAAGGGAGTTCCAGGACAGCCAAAGCTACAGAGAAACTCTGTCCCAAAAATCCAAATTTAAAAAAATTAAAAGATGTATTGCAGAAGAAAAATATTTAAATCATTGGATACAGATGTCTAACACTTATTCATCATGTGTGCAACACACTCTTGTACCAAGGCTCACACTAGGAAGTCAGAGGACAACTTGCAGGATCATGGGGGTCCTGGGGATCAAACTCAAGTTGTCAGGCTTGGCAGCAAATACCTTTCTATACTGAGTCATTTTGGTGGCCCAGCTGCCACCGCTGCCTCCTCCTGGTTCTCCTCTTCTTCTTCTTGAGACTGAGTCTCATGTAGCTTAAGCTATGCTCGAATTTGCTTTGTAGCTGAGGATTCTTTAATTAATCTTGTCTCTGCCTCCCAAATGCTGGGATCGAAGGTGTGCATAAAACCAGTGGCTTCTATTACTGTTAACTAAGAAAGTCTACAACCTGCTTTCTTAAGGTCTATTAAGGATGTTGTAACCTGGGGATTTGTGTGCCTCTTTATTTCCCCACCTGGCCTATTTCCTGTATCTAAGGTACTTTGATTGCCATAGAAACAGAAACAAATACAACTAATTTCCCCTAGTTGAGCTGCTGGATTCCACCCTGAGCTCTGCCCACAGGCACAGCTGTGTGATCCTTACATCTTTTCACTGTTCCTCTCCCCTAACTTTGTCTCCTCACCTCCCTCTACTGGTTTGGCTGCACTCTGGAAAGTGTGGATAACTGTGTGAATATTTGCCTCCAGCTCACACAGCCAGTGTGAAAACCAAACTATCAATTTAGAGACTACACAAGCCTTACAAAAGCCCAAGATATTTTATGAACCTATTTTGATTGGTCATTGGCATGAGGGCTACTTTGGGTATTCCTGCTTGATTTTTGTTTTTCCCTTATTGGGTAGTTGTATAAGAAGAGAATAATTTGGGGGTTGTAGAGATGGTTCAGTTAAGAGCACTAGCTGCTCTTCCAGAGGACTGGGTTCAATTCCCAGCATCTACAAGGCAGCTCACAACTGTCTGTAACTCCAGTTCCAGGGCATCTGACACCTTCACACAGACATGCATGCAGGGAGAACACCAATGCACATAAAACAAAAATAAAACATTAAAAAAAGAAAAGTAATTTTTGTTCATGGGTATCTACGAAGCATAGAGCACCCAAAAGTACTGAGAGAGCGACACACTGGTGCAGAGCGGTGGCCAAAGCAATGCATGCCAAACAACTCCTGGGATTCCGTTGTCTTGAAACACCGTGAAGCAAATGAAAGCTGGGAAGTTCATGTATGAACAATCTTCAGTCTTTTCTTCTTTACTCTCTCTTCTTTCCTTAACTTGGGAAGGATTTCCTCACACACTGTAACAGAGCTGGGGAGCAGATGGGACTCTAAACCAGTGGTTCTCAACCTGTGTATTGAGACCCCTTTAGGGGTCAAATGACCCTTTCACAGGGGTTGCCCAAGACTATCAGAAAACACAGATATTGACATTAGGATTCATAAGACTAGCAAAATTACAGTTATAAAGTACCAATAAAAAATAGTCTTATGGTTGGTGTCACCATAGCATGAGGAGGGTTACAGCATCAGGAAGGTTAAGGGCCACTGTTCTAAACAGAATCTCTGGAACATCCTGAAGGGTGTCTCTAATGTCAGTGCTGATGGAAAGGGTGAAGATTGCTGGGACAGTCACTGTCAGCAGAAGTCAGCTCGCCAGGCACCTGCTTGTCAGCCATGCTGTCTGTTCTTCAACACACACACACCCTACTAAAGAGGAAATTGCAAAGGAGAACTGAAGAGATGAAATGCAGATTTACAACGAGATACATGTTTACATCTACATGAGTAGTGTGAGTATATTTTTAGGGTAGCATGTTCTGACCAAGCAAGCTTAACATGAAAACACCAGCAATGCTGGGTGTGGTAGCCTACACCTTTGATCCCAGCACTCAGGAGATAGAAGCAGACTGACCTCTATGAGTTTGGGGTCAACCAGGGCTACACAGAAAAACCCTGTCCCGAAATCTCAAAAGACAAAAATAAATTAATTAATTAAACAAAACTAAACAACAACAACAACAAAAACCCACACATGACAACAACAAAAAGTAATGTATATAAAACTTTTATAAAAAGATAATGGTAACTGTGCCGTAGAATAAATTTTTGAAACCATTTGTCTCTACACCAAATGTCCCAGAGTTCTACACTTCTAAACATTAAGGGGCATGCATATGTGTGTGAGGGGGAGGGGAGTATGCAAGCATGTTCACATGTGTGTGAATTTGTGCAGGTACACATGTATGTGGAGGCCAGAGACTGAAATCTGGTAGCTTTCAGGTCATTCTCCACCTTATATATTGAGGCAGAGTCTCTCTGTTGGACACAGAGCTTGCTGATTTGGCTGATGTAGTCCAAGGATCCTGCCTCTGTCTTCTAAGCCCTGGGATTCTAAGTGGACCACAATACCTGCCCAACATGTTCATTGCTGCTGGGGATCTGAACTCAGGTCCTCAGGCTTGTACAGAGAGTGCTTCACCCACTGAGTCATCTCCCCAACCACTTCTAAAAGTTCTTTCCCTTTGAATTATACGCTATGCCTATGGGTGTGTGCATGTGAGTACAGTTACCCACAGAGGTCAGCAGAGGGCATTGGATCCCTTGAAGCAGGAGTTACAGCTTATTTGGGTGATAGGAACCAAACTCAAGTTCTCAGCAAGAGCACTGTGCACTACTAATCTCTGAGCCATCTTTCCAGTCCCCTCTTACAGAAAGTTTTTGTGTGCGATTTTCACTTTATTTTCCTGCCACATTCCCAGTAGTCCACTCCCACTTTTCTTTGTTCTTAGGTAGAGCTTTTTTTTTTAGATTTTATTTATTTTTATTATGTATACAACATTCTGCTTCCATGTATATCTGCATACCAGAAGAAGGCACCAGATCTTATAACAGATGGTTGTGAGCCACCATGTGGTTGCTGGGAATTGAACTCAGGACCTCTGGAAGAGCAGTCGATCCTCTTAACCAGTTCGTTTTCTAAAATTTTTTTTTCTAAAATTTCTTATTGAGGGAAAGCAAGGTGGATCTGGGAGAAATAGTGCTTGCCACCAAGATTAACAACCTGGATTCAATTCTCCAGACCCGCATGGTGGAGGGAGGGAGCCAACTCCACAAAGTTGTCCTTTGACCTCTACATGTATGATGTACCATGTACTTGTACACAGGTGAATTCGAGCACCCGAGAGGGCTCACATACACACACACCACCACCACCAACACACACACACACCACCCCAAATGTATCTAATGGCCAAACCTGATCACCTGAGTGAGATCTCTGGGACCTACATGGTGGAAGAAAAACTGACTTCTTCCTGGTGTCCTCAGACCACCACATGAGCACTATGGCATGAGTACTCATGTGCACACACACAAATACAAATATAACTGACTTCTTCCTGGTGTCCTCAGACCACCACATGAGCACTATGGCATGTGTACTCATGTGCACACACACAAATACAAATATAATTGAAGCCGGGCGTTAGTGGCGCACGCCTTTAATCCCAGCACTCGGGAGGCAGAGGCAGGTGGATCTCCGTGAATTCGAGGTCAGCCCGGTCTCCAGAGCGAGTGCCAGGATAGTCTCCAAAGCTACACAGAGAAACCCTGTCTCAAAAAACCAATATATATATGTGTGTGTGTGTGTGTGTGTGTGTGTGTGTGTGTGTGTATTTGAAAACCCCACTTTTGTTGATTTTGCTCTTTGATAATTTCATACATATATGTCTTAGGGTTTCTATTGCTGCGATGAAATAACGTGACCAAAAGCAAGTTGGGGAGAAAAGGGTTTATTTGGCTTACACTTCCACATCACTGTTCATCATCAAAGGAAGTCAGGACAGGAACTCAAACAGGGCAGGAACTTGGAGGCAGGAGCTGCTGTAGAGAACACAGAGGGCGCTGCTTACTGCCTTGCTCCACACCAGTTGGCTTTCTTGTGGGCTGGGCCCTTACCCATCAATCACTAATTAAGAAAATGCCTTCCAGACCTGCCTACAACCTAATCTTCTTTGTTTGTTTGTTTCTGAGACAGGGTTTCTCTGTGTAGCACTGGCTATCCTGGAATTTACTCGGTGGACCAGGCTGGTCTGGTACTCATAGATTGTCCACCTGCCAAAGGCATGTAACTCCACAGTCCAGCTACAACCCTATCTTATGAAGGCATTTCCTTAAACGAAGTCCCTGCCTCTCAGATGACTTTAGCTGTGTCAAATTGACATAGAAGTATCCAATACAACATATAAAGTACATTTTAATTACTGTAACTCCCCAGTGTCCTTCCCACACCTCTTACCCCTCCTCCCTACAAGTTCCCATCTCACATTCAAGACTTCTTTTGTTGTTGCTGCTGTCATTTTTGAGGCCCTGAAATTTTTTTTAGATGTATTTTATTTTATATGTATGTGTGTTTTGCCTGCATTTATGTTTGTGCACTGTGGCGTCCATGGCGGCCAGAGAGGGTATCAGATCCCCTGGAACTGAAGTTATAGATGGTTGTGGACCACTGTGGAGATGCTGGGTGCTCGGGTAAAGCAACAAGTGCTGTAAACGACTGAGCCAACTCCCCAGCCCTGAGACCCACCTAATTTAACTAGGATCATCTGTGTGGCAGAGGGTTTCGAACTATCAACTGGAGCTTGGTGAAGTCCTCAGTCGCTACACAACTGAACACAAGGACTGTCCCTTCTGCAGGATCCATTATTATCTAGTTAATTGTTCAGCAGGGAGGGTTCGAACCCCATAAGCCCTTTCCCAATCCATGATTGACAGTCAACAGTCCAGTCTGATGAAGATCTCTTGACTGCACAGGCTATGCCTGCCCTGAAGACAGCACCTCACAGCTCTTCTCCCCAACTTCTGATTCTTTCTTTCCACCTCGTGCAGTGTTCATGAGCCTTAGAGGGAAGGGTATAAATGTCCTGTTTAGGACTGAGCACTCAGCAGCCTCTTAGTCTCACCAGGTATAGTCTTGTTGCAGGTGAGGATCAGCCAATTAAACAGATGTTGAGCTTCAGTCACAGCCTGCCAACTGATGAGATCTTGTCCGTATAAGACGAATGCCTCTTGTATTCTGCTCATATTAGGCAAACAGTAATTGCAGCCAATCAGGTAGTTTCTGTGTATTTCCTCTTCTCTATGAATGTAATCTGTGTGGTAGATGTTCGGGACAGCATAAGGAACCAACTTTGTTAGGAATACTACCCTATCCTAGAACATTTTCCTTTCTCAAATAAACTTCATTATATTTAATTCATTTCAGATTTTTCAACAACTTAATAACCAAATGCAATTATCCTTGTAGAGGTGGTGTGTGTGTGTGTGTGTGTGTGTGTGTGTGTGTGTGTGTGTGTGTATTCGAGTGCAAAGGGAACATATTTCCTAAGAGAGGCTCTAATAGGTGATATTTGAAAAAAAAGCAAAGTCAGGTAGGAAATGTAGCCAGCCATAAAGAAAACACTTGCCCATTTCAACACCCAGTTCCACAAACAAAACAACCAAATAAAACTCCAGAAAAAGACTGGACAGTGATGGTGCACACCTTTAATCCCAGCACTCGGGAGGCAGAGGCAGGAGGGTCTCTGTGAGTTCGAGACCAGCCTGGTCTACAAGAGCTAGTTCCAAGACAGCCTCCAAAGCCACAGAGAAACCCTGTGTCCTCCCCCCCCCCCAAACCTCTAGTAAAAGCAGTAGGCAGGAAGGTCTTTGTTGTTTAAAATGCACTGGAAGGTTGAGCACTGTGGCTCACCAGCTAGTGGGCAGACTGAAGGCAGGAGCATTGCTTGAATAGAGGAGTTAGAGACCAGCTCATACAAGTAAGACCTTTCTTATACAGATATGTGCATGGCAGGTGCTTCACTCACTAAGCAATCACCCCAGCCCTTGAGTTGTTTGATTTTGTTTGTGATACAGGGTCTCACTATATACCTTTGGCTGGCCTGAAGATCACTATGTAGATAGACCAGGCTGGCCTTGAACACATGGAGATCAAACTGCCTCTATGAATTCTATCTTGTTTGTGTTTTTTTCCATGATATTTTACTGAATTATTTTGGAATTTCATGTCATGAACACAGATCACACTCATTTCTGAGTCCTCCCAGGTCCAACCTCCACTCCGGTCATCTCTCCCTGCCCTCCATCCCCCAAAAAAAAAAACGAAGAAAAAGTTCAATTTGTGTTGCCTACATACTCACTGAACCCCTTAAAGAAAACCGAGTCCTTCCCCACCTGCCAGCCAGAGGTCATCACTTGTGCATTGGTGTTTTGCCTGCGTGCATGTCTGTGTGAGGGTGTTGGATCCCTGGAACTGGAGTTACACACAGTTGTGAGCTGTCGTGTGGGTACTGGGAATTGAACCTGGGACCTCTGGAAGAGCAGCCAGTGCTCTTAACTGCTGAGCCATCTTTCCAGCACCCACAACTCTTTTTTTTTCATTTTTTCATTATTTATGCAGAAATTTGTACAATGAGTAGTACATGTTATACACCAAGACAATTTGTTCAAGTACATGATAAATTATAAACATTTACTTCTTAAGTTTTCAAACTTCCTTGAGCTAGTTTTTAGGTAGTAAACTGTACATTTGTAGAAATATCTAAGACTTACAAAATATTAGGGAAACGTACTGAGCTCCATTATGCTCTATTCCCCAAAGAGAGATAATGAGAAAGGTTCACCTGTCTTAGGCACTTAGGCATGGTTTACTTATTACATTTGATTAAATTATACATATGCATGCTAAAATTAAATAATTTTTATATTAGAGTTGCCTCTGCATTTACTATACATTCTATCAATGCGAGAATTTTATAAGTACAGGTATCAACCATTTTACTACAATAGGAAATAGTCTTACTAATTTAATCCCTCTGGCTTTCATTGTTTGAAACCCCATAAAATAGTAATTATTCTACTTTATCTAGAATGTCATATAATTGGGATAATATCACCTATCACTTTTACAAATTGTGTTCTTTCCCTTAGTAATGCACACGTATGAGTCTTCTATGTATCTTGTGGGTTAATAAATTATTTTTATTTTTGTATAGCATTTGTTTTATGATGGTACCAAAATTTGTTCATCTATTCACCTGCTAAAAACAATCTTGATTGCTCCGCTCTCCTCTCTCTCTCTCTCTCTCTCTCTCTCTCTCTCTCTCTCTCTCTGGTTTTACCAAGACAGAGTTTCTCTGTGTAGCTTTGGAGCCTATCCTGGCACTCGCTCTGGAGACCAGGCTGGCTGGCCTCAAACTCACAGAGATCCGCCTGCCTCTGCTTCCTGAGTGCTGGGATTAAAGGCGTGTGCCACCAACGCCCCGCCTCTCCTCTCTTTCTGCCCCTGTCTCCTCTGCTTCCTGAGTGCTGGGATTAAAGGCGTGTGCCACCAACGCCCGGCCTCTCCTCTCTTTCTGCCCCTGTCTCTCTCTTCTCTTCTGTCCTCTCTCTGTCTCTGTGTCTCTTCACCTCTTTTATCTCTCCTTCTCCCCATCCCCTTTCTAATAAAACTTCTCACTCAAGCTCTGTCTGCCTGGCATGTTTGCGCCCCGTCTCGGTCACCCTCGCCTGCCATGGAATCTGCCATGGTCCCCCACGCAGGACCCCCTTCCAGCTTTATCCTAACACTGGTGCAAAAGAACAACACCTATCCGCCCCCCTGTGGTAACATAGGCCACGGAAATCAACACTGACCCCAGCTGCAACAGGACCACAGACTCAGACATGGCCCTCAGCAGCAACTTGAACCTGGACATCACCATGGCCCAGCAGCAGCACAGGCTACCCAGATCAGTATGGCCCTGGAGGCATTATGGCCCTCAGACACTAACACAGTCTCAGGTGGCTGACCAGACCTTGGGCATCTGCGAGACCTGAGATGGTACCAGGAGCCATGGACATCAACTCAAACCCTGGCTGCTGTAGGGCGAAGGACTCAGACACAGTCATCTGCAGCAGCTCAGGCCAGAGGACACATGGCCCCTGAGGCAACATTGCTCTCGGATACCTTCTCACAAATTTCAAGAATTCTTTTCCATGGCTTTCTGTTTAGACTGTTACTTTGAGGTAGGGGTGAATGGGGTGGGGTAGGGTG